GATAGTTGTTACAGAATTTGCTGGGCAATGACCAAAATAAAATGACGGAATGACTTGCTAGAGTTCTAACTCTGTTGTGCTCAACTTTCTGAACTTTTGTTTGCATGAATAGTTTCATGTAAAAGAGAAGATGGAAGAATGCATAGGTAACTTGCCCATTACATTCACAAGCCATGATGGTTGTTAAGTGAGGTGAACACATAATCACATCACTTAACAGTCTCCAATCCTACTTTCCCCAGTGCAGTTGTTAAACAGAATATGGGTGCTTCAGGAGTGGGGAGGCCCTGTGAGGTATAGCGCAGGATGAGGTCCATCTATCCTGGGTCTCACAGGGCCTTCTCCACCTTCTGTGACAGCAGTATTCTGCTTCTTGGAGATACCACAGAACTTGGGCCTGCTTTTTTGTGTCCCTGCAGATCCCTTAAAAACATAGGAACATAGAAAGTACAGTAGTGTGCCTATTTGACTTTCAGCTTATTGTTGAGGTCCTCTGATCCATTGTTTAGTACAATATTAATTTAAATTTAACATACTGCTACTACAATCCATTCAGTTGTGTATGACTCTTGGCAAGTATTCTTCATGATGCCCTGTCAAGGACAGCTTTCGGTTGTGGAATGTTCATTTTTCTATCAACTTTGATGGTATCAAGCCAGTGAGTTCTTTGCTTGCCCCTTCATTGACTTCTCCAATGATTTTCACGCATGGCATGGCCAAAGTAAATCAGATGTAGTCTTGTGATCTTGGCTTCTAGTGATATTTCTGATTTTATATGATTAAATTTAATATACAGACAATTGTAATGTCTTGTTGGATGGCAAAATTATTAGCTTAGAAGGGGATCCATTATAAGAGATCCTATAATATTACCATTGTGTTGCCTGGTTTTTCATGTTGAGTATATTATGGATTATGTTAGGAAACACTGAATGTATACTTACACTGCAATCTCAACCATCTGATACACAGTATTAACAAACAACTGAAATATAATTTATGAATATTTCTTCTCTTTGCACACATGAGGTCTCAAAGCAGATTAATTTCCAAACTGTAAGTATTATCCTATCCAAATTAGGTGGAATCTCAGTTTCTACAATTCTACAAATTCTACAAACACCACCACCACTGTTTTATTGTATTCAGTTTCAGTTTCATAATTGTTGTCCAAACTATTACCATTTCTAGCCAGTGACCTAGGGCAATTTCCCTAGATGAGTGAGAATGGAAAAAGTTCAGTGTCACAGTGACCCAGATGATTTTCCCACTAATTTTAGGATATTAAATAATACAGTGGCCAAAATGAAGCCCTGAGGGGATACTATTGGTCATTGTGACAAACATGTTCAGTTGCTAAATGTTTTATCAAATTACTAATCTGATTTAATTCTGAGGAAATACAAATTTTAGCTACCTGTTGCTGTATACTGAATCTTTGCAACCCCATGGATCATAGCACACCAAGCTCCCCTATCCTCCACTGTCTCCCAGAATTTGCCCAAATTCATTATTTTTTGGGTCAAACAGGGCTTCTTAAAAACATTATATGTTTTTGCATCTTTTGAAATAATGCAATATTAGAGATAGGATAGAAATTCCCCAATATTTCACAGTGTAATTTAGAATAGTTTTTTCAACAGTGTTTTATAGCTATTTAAATTTGCAAAATGTTGCATTTCTCGCAGTGAAGTATTTAGCAGTCAAAATCAAGTCTCCTTTGAGATGACCATGACTTCTTTGATCACCATTGTAGAAACAGGTTGCTCTTATTTTTTTGAGGGTTTTTTTTTACTTCCCAGTCTAGCCTACTACTTGGTGCGCAAAGTCCTGGCTTACTTATGATTATGTTTTATCAAATTATTAACCTGACTTCATTCTGTTAAGCTTTGGAGGCCATACAAATTTAGCCAGCTCCTGCTGTATACTGTATCTTACCAATCCTACCATCTCATATTTTCTGGCTTTGTAAATGAAAATATAAATAGTTTAATAAATATACCATTAAAATACACTAATGGTGATATAATTTTATTATTCTATTAGTAGTATCTAAATCAGAACCGACACTAATTTTCAAATTCATTGCAGGATGTTATCAAGCAATCCTCTTCTCCCCATTCCCTAAAATGTAAAAGACAGAACTGATCTTCTGATATACTCCTGAATAGATGCCAGTGAAGAAAAAAAAATGATATTTTCCCACTAGTATAATTTCACAGCTAGATTTCATTCAATCTAGCTATGGAATAATTTTTCAGATACATGATATAATAGTGGTGCTTAAAAGTTTGTGAACCCTTTTCCTTTTTTTCACTTTTTAGTATTTCGAATAAATATGATTGCACAAATCTTAAAATTAGACAAAGAGAACCCAGTTAAACAAATGAATCAAATAGTATAATTGTTCATTTATTCATTGTATGGCCTTGCATGACACATAATTGCCTGTACCAGTTGAAACTTCCAAATACTTTTCAAGTTCAGGCCTGTGTAAAGTGTAGTATAGTAGTCCAATTAAGAGGTGACCGTGATTAGAGTTTGATTCTGGTACTCAGTGCAAAGTTGTATAGTAAATATAATAAAGAAAAATTACTTCCAACCCTCATCACAACAAGTATAAGCCAACTCTTCATCTTCCAGGGATGAAGAGTTGGCTAATGCCTAGGATTACAAACAGATACTTCTTCATTCCATATCTCATCCTTTGTCTATAAGCAAATCTATAAAATATCAATTTTTAAATCCTGGTGTCAGCAAAAAATCCATAAAGGATTGTCAGAAATTTACAAAAAAAAGTCTTATTTTTATCTTGGTTAAATAAACCAACTTTATGTTTCTTCCTTTAATCCCCAACAATCTTAGTCTTTAATTTAATCAAATGTTTTTGTAGGGTTTAATTTCTATTCAATTTTTTATCCCATCACAAATTTCTTCAAGGCTTTAACAAGCCTCTTTTGTAGATACAGTAAAAACATTTACAAGGTCATTCTCTTGGTTTATCATTTGTATTTCCCTTTTAATTTTAAATCATCAGGCAGTTTCTTTTGTACAGCCCAGCTGCTCCCGACCTTTTCTATACTCCACACCCCTAGAACGCTTCTGATATATTCTCTCATCTCTTACAAAAGTTCAAAATAACGAATTATGCATATAATTTTAAAACTTCTAAACCCATGTTTTTGCACCCCTTGGAATATAGTCTCGCACCCCCAGTTGGGAACCCCTGGTATAGCCAGTAAAGCAGGCATGTCAAACTTGCGATGTCACATGACGTCGTGTGACATATCGCTACTTTTTCCCCATTGCTGTCATTGGGGTAGGTGCGGTTTCGGCGTGACGCCTCCGGCCCGTGGGCCAGCAGTTTGACATGCCTGCAGTAAAGCATCCTTTTGCAAATCATTCTCTTGGAATCCATTTATAATTCCAATTCCATTTGTAATTACTTTTCTGTCTTGTCAGATAAAATTTGTTCCACATCTGTCATTCCTTTATTGACATCTTTTGAACATAATCTACCCATATAAAAATCATAACTGACATATTTCTGGCTCCATTCTTCAAATATTTCTGATATTACTACATTTTGAAAATCCCAGCAATTACTGAAATCAGGAACTATAATGTAATATGTGGATGACCTTGGGAAATGAGGGAAGGAGGTGCTGCCTAGGTAGGCAATCAGACAAGAGAAGCAGGAGCCCTAATGGCTTAACAGTCAGAGGAAGAAACTTAAGAGGGACCTGCCCTAATAGACCAAGTTAGTGGCAGTGGGACTTTCAGACTTACAAGATTCTGTTAATGCAGTGGTTCTCAACCTTTCTAATGCCGTGACCCCATAATACAGTTCCCCATGTTGTGGTAACCCCCAAGTGGGTGTGGCCACCAATAAGAGGGAGTAGGACAGCTAGGGAAAAGGAAAAAAATGGCGGACAGCATGGTTTGACGACCCCCGTGAAATGGTCGTTTGACCCCAAATGGGGTCCCGACTCACAGGTTGAGAACCACTGTGTTAATGTAACCTTGCAATAAAGTAGCATTAGTTCATTTAATTGGTTTCCTGTCTGATTTATCTGGGAAGGCTCTTGAAAGTCTTTACTGACCAGTTTGCCGTGGTTGTTGACTCCATTTTTGCAGAGTTCATTATACTTCTCCAAGGAGCCCCCCATGCGCACACATATGAATAATGTTAGAATAAGCATATTAGATTTTCAGCAGCAAATTAGACAAGAAGCTCAATATTTTCTACGTTTTAAAACAGTTATGGTGATATGTTAGGGCTGCAGCTTTTTGATACGCATATTGTTTCCTTCTTATCTCTTTATTGAAATCCTTGTACAATCTTAACATAGATATTAATCACATAATATTACTTGTAATTATTTTGATACAGGCAATGGGAACAACTGTTATGAAAGCCATAAGATGCAAATTAGCTCTATGTTCCTCTTTTATGCCTTTGATACAACAGTCATATACAATATAATTGTATTGCTGTGCCAGGTTAATTGTGTTCTGTTGCCACAAGCAGGTTTAATTATAAGTTCTCTTCCAAAATTCATATCTTGGAAATAGGATCACTTAATCAACAAGGTTTGTGTAATGTTGATTTTGCATCTATGAGGAGAAAAAAACATCTTGGTCTTTGTTTTTAAAACAAAACCATTTAGAGCAACCTCAATAATAATCAGTTTTATTATTATATGAGATTTCACAATGTGTAATAATCAGATACATTGAATCTTGAAAGTACCGTAAAATTCTCTTTTTTGTACAGCTGATTAACATAACTTTCTTTTAGGAAGCAAGTATTATTTAGAAGAGAAATCAATTTCAAAACTGAATTATTTGGCTAAATAATATTAATGTTATTTAAAATAATATCGAGTCTCATATTATGCCAGACTTCAGCTGGCTGTCAGTCTTTGCAATGTAAGTGACAAAACTAAATTATTCAGTGCATGTTTTGTTTACATTTTTTACTGTTTTTATTTTTTTAGGCTTAATTTTGCTATTTTATCTCGTCTTCTATGGCTTCTTAGCCGCACTTTTCTCATTCACAATGTGGGTTATGCTCCAGACATTAAGTAGAGATATACCCATGTATCGTGACCGGATTCGTTTTCCAGGTAAATATGTCCAAATGAAATTATCAAAATAAATTAATAGAAAAGGTATTTTACTTACATTAATTATCTCAACATTTACCATGTAATCATAATAATGAATTTCTAGTTCTTTTTGTACTGATTATTTATTTTAAATAAATATATTTTATAATGGCCTCTCACCTTATGAAATATAACTCTGCATGACTCACAACAATACAGAAACCAGTAAAACCAAAACAGGACGCTTCAAGCAGCATTCTCCAATAAAATTCAGTGATACAATCTCCAGCTCCAATCTCACCCTATTCCAATAGTTGGGGGGGTAAACCAGTTGTTATGGTGTTCCAGAGAGCAAAAGAATGCAGCCTGTGGAAACCCTGGGGAACGATATTGCACAAATCAGGGGCTCTTGCAGAAAAGACGTTTTGTAGAGATGGTGATATGTAAGGGAAGGAAACTGGAGTGTCATTCTAGTCATTCTGTACTACCCACTGTTGTAGTAAATTAATTGTTTGAATGTATTTCTGATTAATGTAGGTCTTCAGTGCATATTCTACATTTAAACACATTTTCTGAATGGATCATTAGATTTGACTTCTTCATATATGTTTATCATGAAATTAATACAGGCATTTACAGGCATTTACAGGTTGCATGCCTAAATGGGCAAAGTTTTTAAAAATTTAATAAAACCTTAACTGAAATTATAAGCCATAGCTAAAGACAACTATTTTATTAATGTACTGATTTAAAATAAAATCTGGATTATAGAAATACAGGTCACATATGTTCAACTTTCTTCATGCTGAGATTCATGTGAGCCTTTGAGCTACTTCCTGAAGACTGTATTCCAAAGAATAATGGATGGAATCATGACAAAAACCCAAGTTGATTTCATTTAAATAAGATTAATATGATTACACTCCTGCAATTGATTTAAGAATTTCCTCATTTCAGATTAAAATTTACAATTTAATAATAACTTCAGCATCCATCTCTCTGACTTCAGTTGTCCACTTATTCATATAGACAGTGTTAACAAAGGATTGATGTCTATTGTAACAAAATAGCCATATTAAGTATAATTCTATGTATGATGGTTCACATGCTATGACAGATATCAGACAGCCTCTAAAATAGTCGCACCCTGCAACTTGAGCCATAAGGTACACTAGAAAATTTACCCAGTAAAAAGTCCTACTTGTTATTAATGGATTGAGAATTTTCTTGGATAGTTTTGCTATATCTCAGCCAAAAATATAGAACAATATATAAAATGATAGAAAGTGGCTCCTCTTTATTAAACAGTGCTGGATCCAAGAAGCACACTTCTTTGTCAGACACTTACTCTGTCAATGATTCTGACCTTGCTAGCCTTTCTTAAGACAATAAAAACCCAGTTTTACTTTGAGCCTAAGTATTGAATAAGCCTGATTTTTAATTGTGAGGTTAGTTATTTTATTGCTTTTTAACTATTCAGAATTGTGTGTTGATTGGGGAACCATACTAAAAAAGTAAATTTTGCTTTGTCAGGGTAAGTGTTAAATAATTTAGCTGATTCAGTGATACAGTGATGAAATCCTTTGTAATTTAATGTAAAATAAAAGATTTAGCTATTTAATCTTATGCAATTATGTAAAACCCAGTTCTTAAAATATTTCTTCAAACTATTTTTATACATTTAGAAATTATCATTTTTGTGGGATACTTTGGATGAACAATTAGCTTTTTATTTTTGTAGGACTAATGATTTCACCAAAACCAGAAACTGCGTTGGAATTTTCAATAAGCAAAAATAACTCAGAAAACTATAATTATAATCGTTATGTAGAAGCCCTTCATAAATTTCTAGGAGGTATGTATACTTTCGCTCTTTTCCAAGAAATTTATATAAACTACTAAGGGTCCTTGTAATGTTTTTCTAGCACTAACAATAATTGTTGGTAAAAGCAGCTATTTTTGTGATGATTAGGATTTTTTTTTAGGTTTATCAGACTTAGTGATACCTGAAAACCAAAGATCCTGAATTTAAAATATGGCCAATTTTTTTTTACATTCTGCTAAAAAGAATTTTGGGGGAGCTTTTGGAAGATTAGTTAAATTGACTATTAATATTAAATTTGCTAAGATGAATATCTATTAACCTATGGCTTGATGTGAAAATGTGAAATTGTTTGTTGCTCTACTTATGAATATCTTTGATGTATATATTCAGTCTGTTAACAAACTTTTAATGAAAGGCGACTGTGAAAAAAGGGCAATTAAGATAATAAAATCACATTCATCCCTTCTGTATTATAGGCTTTTGTAAGCTGTATTTATTATGCAGTAGGCATTTGATCAGTTTAACCAAAAGTATACAGAGATAAGATATTAAACTTTTCTGTAGGCTTCTCAGCCTTTTGGCTAAGATCAAGTGTAGTAGTGTGTAGAATTCTTTCTCAGGCAAGATACTGTCACTGTTTCCTGTGCATATTTATGGAAAAGTGAATTGCACACTGTTCAGAGGAGCTTACTTTAAATAAATGTGTAGAGAGCTGCAGCACTTAATTGAAAAGGGAACATAGGAAAATGTTGAAAAGAGCAAGGAAGGCATGTGAGAATGCATAGAATCAGCATCGGAAACTTGGTTCAGAACTTCCTTGAAAGCAGATACTCAGTTTGGCTGCAGTCAACTTAATGTGTCTGAGCGCCCTCATATTTTTGTATTTTACATGTTGCAGGCATGAGAAAGTAAGAGGGTAGAGGAAGGTCAGAGGGCAAGGAAAGGTGACAGAAAGTGGAACAAAAGAGCAATTGTCAGAGGATAAAATACAGAAAAATGAACAAAAGTATCAAAGGCGGTGGCATTATGAAGGTGAAAGAAGAGATGAATAGAAGGTAAATGAGAGAAAAAAGTGAAAGAAAAAGAAGATAGAGGACAGAAAGCAAACTAAAAAGAAGTGAACTGAAATAGATTTCAGTGATTACAGGTGCCTTTTTGGTAAGAAAGTGCAAATGTGAAAATACTCCTTTAATTGACATTAAGTACAGGATTACTTATGTTGGAAGAAATAGATTGCTCAGACCACAGCGTGTGTTCTACATTAGATATTGGCAAATATGATATTTCAGATATTGAAACCACAAAATCTGTTAAAGAAAAAAATATAGAACTTTGCGATAAGCATGAAAACTGCTCTATATTACAACTTCATACGTTCACCAGAATCCATAGTTAAAATGTGGCAGAACTCTACATTCTCATGTGGAAAAAAATGAATAATTGAACTAAAAGCAAGAGATTTATATTGCAAACTTCAGTTAATATGGTTACTGAAATATATAGCAGTGGCTTAAATTGAAATCTAAATTTTTGTTGAATACCACAGTCAAATGTCTGAGAACGCTTTCAGTGATTTAAGGCTGTAGATCATGGGTGTCCAACCTTTTGGCTTGCCCGAGCTGCATTGAGTGAAGAGGAATTGTCTTGGGTCACATATAAAATATACAATATAGTTAATGTATATAAATAACAAATTTCCTTTATTTTTAAAAATATTTTTATTGTCTTGTGGGGCCACAGCTGTGGGTTAAACATGTCTGCTGTAGATAATCAACATATAAAAACTAAAGCATTTGCAATGCATTAAAAAGAATCAATAGATATTATGTCCAGATAGTCCTTACTTAATGACTCTAATTGACTGACAATTCCATTGCTAGGCAATACAGGCATTAAGTTATATCTGCTTAGCGATGGCAGTTTTAGCAATCCTAGTTTCATTGAATCCTACACAGTCATTAGGTAAAGACCTATCCAGATCCAAACCATTTTGGGGGAAATGTAAGGGTTTGACTCCATCTCAGCTCACCCCATTCCCCTATCTCCTCCCCAGTCTCTGCATTTTGGTCACCTGCTGCCAGCTGCCCCTGCCGCCAAGATGCCCACTGCACCACACACTACACTGTATCAGTGGGCGGCTTCTTTCATTCTGCCTTCTTTCCCACCAATGCAGCTGGGGCTTGTCTTGCCTTCTGGGCCAGGGCTTCCTTTAGCAGAACAGGGCCTGAACAGGGCCTCCGTTCGTGCTCTGCACAGAATTTTCTTTTGTGAAAAAAGGGAAGGCAGGGTGCCAATGGGGACCCTGGCTGATGCATAAGGGAAACCCCAGCTGCACCAGTGGGAAAGAAGACCCCAGCTGGTACAGTAATGCAGTGCAACAAGAGACAGTGGTGGTAGCAGGTAGGTGGATGGCCAAAGATGGCCATAAAAGCCCATGGGTCCGAATTTTATTTATATGACCAAGCAGATGCAGCAACAGGCGGAACTCTTTCAAGGACTGGTCATAAGTCCCATTGTTTAATGTTATCATAACTTCAAATAGCCACTGAACAAATGGATGTTAAGTGAGGTCTACGTGCATTATTCTTGCATAGTTGTGATATATTTCAGAAAAAGAAAGATTGGTTGCCAAAATTATGTCAGCAAATAATTTTGGAGAAATTTCATTCTAAAAAAATTATTGATTTACTTTGCTCAGTACTATTCCATTTAAAATAGATTTATTAGCTTCATATACAGAGAACTATTTAAAACATAATCACAGTCAAATATAGAAACAAAGTTTTTTAATCTTAATGTGTATAATTTTGAGATTTCTTGTACAAAATATTGTTTTTGTGTGAAGCAAACTGTTAGTTCTTTTTTATATATATTTGAAAAGTTAGTTCTGGTTTTGAAACTAGAATACCTTGCAGGCAGGTTTAGTTGTTTGAATAAACTGAATGTCTTAATATACAGAGAAATGTTTTGCTTCTTGGTTATAAAAGAATTTTTCTGTTCAAGAAAATGCTGGAACAATTTTACAAAAGAGATGTAATGCAGCATATGGATCAGTATGGTACCTTTATGCCAAAGTTTGTGTGAAGATATGAAATGGTGTAAAATTGTCTACAGTGTGGATTTAGATATACTGAAGTCTGAGATTAATTGAAGAGAAATTTTCTCAACTGTTAACTGTATTTATGGCACAAGATTCAAGTTGTAAATTCAGGACAAAATTTACTAAACGTTTGGATTTCTGTTAATAAAAAGGTGGTAAGTGATGCTATGATCACTTCTATTATATTAAAATATAAGTTCAGCTTATCTTTGACCATGTATTCTATGCCAAATAAAATTAAAGACAGATTTAATAGCATATTTTATTATGAACAAAAAAAAACCCAAGCCCATAGAAAGCATCCACTGTATTTTGGAAAGTACAATGAATCAAACATTGAAAGAAAAAAAATGCTATCCTAACTATTTGAATTCTCAGAAACTTTCAATTAGTGTAGTCATTAAAGGAAATGTTGTGCAGTGTTTGAGAGTTAATCTGGTTATAACTGTCTGTTTTGCAACACTTTGAATTGCTTTTTTTCTTGTTGGTAATTCCCTAAATGCATGAATTTTGGAGTTGGATTTGTGTTCAGGCTTCAAGTGGCTCCTAGCTCTTGACAAGTTGAACACCTCTGAGCAGTAATATTTTTTCAAAATTTGGAAATGAATATTCTCCAAAGATTTTCATTTGCTAAATGATTCTTTAGTCTGTATATTTATTAAATAGTTAATGTCATGCACTGAATTGTTTTTTCTAGCATATAATGAATCAAAGCAAACCAGAAACATTCGGTGTTCTCCAGGGAAGTTCTTTGACCAGAATTCTGTAAATAAATCGGCGTGCCAGTTTAATCGTGATAGCCTGGGACCTTGCTCTGGACTACAAGATGAAAATTTTGGTTATGACAAAGGAACACCATGTGTTATTGTAAAAATGAATAGAGTAAGTTCAGTTACTCTTTTGGATTTCATAAGGCTTTCAGTTTTTCCTGCGGAAACTGTTGTGCAAAATTTGCAGCTGGATAGTATTTGCTTGAAGGTAAATTTCTGTGTATGTTTCTGGATGCTCTTAGAATTCCTTCTTTTCTGACCTTTACTGATTTTTATGTTGAGCTCATGGAAAAGATTTTGCCTGCCTGCTTTGAGTTTTTAATTCAGCCCTTTTATGTTAAAGTTGGATGGCATTTTACCATTCCCAATTGCTTAGAAATGATGTCACATTTTTGCTTATAAAAGTAAAATTCCAGTTGTATGTTTTTGGTCTGAACAAATAATGAACCAGTAAAGAACAACTCACATAAGTATATCATGCAAGAGTTTATCTACTGATCAGAAATGTTCATCAGAACGATACACAGTATTCAGTTAAATATTTCATTTGTTAAGCAATTAACTATGCATTATGTGACATGTTATTTGTATATGTCTTCTGGATTCAGCCGTTAATGTTATGTGCCTAATTTGAAATAATAAACGGCTGTTGCTGGAATCATCACATGGAAGTAAAACGTTCTTGTGTACTTCTGTGAGTGTATTTTAAAACAGGATTACGTTAAAACACCTACATCTGCATTATGATCATTATTTTCCTTCCTTGCTGAGAACTTTTTGCCTACCAACAAATGCAGACATAATGTAATTAATGGATAAGATGCATATTTGTTTACCTTACAAAACCATTTGAACTGAATGGGTATCCTAACTGAGATTATTATAAAATTCAAGTTTTGTTTATATGTTCAACATAAATATATCTAGTAGTCACAGGACATTATACATATATGAATATTATGGATATCCATTCATGTACTGAAAATAAACAGCTTTGATGTGGTTGAAAAATGATTTTCATTAGTATTACCTTATATTTTGAATATACTGATTTCTAATATGGGACACAATAATTTCTATGTAAAGTTATACTGCAAAAATACTCATATAATGAATTATAGTTTCATTATATTAAAATTAAAAACTTGGACTATCAGAAAGTGCTACTTAATTTATTTGAATTATTTTAAATAATTATTCCATTCCAAGTTGTATAACATTTTTTCTACATTTCAGATAATTGGATTAAAGCCTCGTGGACAACCATATTTAGAGTGTAATTCTAAGGTAAGCATTTTAAAATAAAAATGTGCCCACTTTTTTGTTATTAAAAGAGGAAAGTGGTTCAACATAAAGTAGCCTTAATTATGTTATCTCCTTGTATTCTAGATTTCAGCTCACTATTTTTAAAATTTATGTTACAATCTCCATTTAAAAAAGATACGGTTTCTTCATTATTACTTGCTCTTTGTTTTATTTCATTTTATAACCAGCATTTTGTTTTTCTCTCCATGCTGCAATATTTTTATGATGGGTAAGAAAATGAGCACTGAAGCAGAATATGAAATCTTAGTGTTTGCACTGTGAAATTATTCACTTGTAAGCATTCTATCATTTTCAGAATGTATTCATAATAAATGTTATATATTTTTTAAATGTTTCCCTTTATATAGATGATTTTTATCATACACTTTTGTATTTTTAAAGAAAAAATATTTATTTTTATTTATTTATCAAACTTCTATACTGCCTATCACACTTGCATGACTCTGGGCAATTTTCCAATTTATATAATATCTGTTGATTTATATATTTGAAAGAATTTGGGTTTCAAGATCACACACTGATGCTTTCCACTCTAATATATGTCCCATTTAGAATTGTTATAATATTTGCCAAACTTCATTAAGATGAAGATGTTCAATTTAATGTCCACCTAGTGTTGTTTTAATTTGAACTGTGGGGGTCATACAGTACTAAAACTATCAAAAGGCAAGTGAGTGTAGAGTGCATGTGCAATCATCTGTTGTGATCCTATTAGGAAAACCAAAATTAAGTGGTTTGAATCACACTTCTGACTATTTTATTAAATTTTATTTTTATTAAAATATGCTGAAAAGAGGAATGTATTGAATCTTGTCATATATGCACGTTATCTAAATCAAAATGCATCTTATATACTGAAATATTGTTGAATATAACTGTATTTGCATTATTTTAAAAATCTTTCCTCTGTACTTACATTTATTAAACCAAAACAAAAATAATACTATAGCCAGCATCCCTTTCCACGCTTTAGAGTCACCTACAAATCATCCTTGCCTGAGAAGCAGCTGTTCTAAAAGAAGGAAGCCCCCAGAAAGAACACCTATCATTAGCCTATTCCATTGTGTCATACGATAGTGGCTTTAGACACCCATGTCATTCTTTAAACACTCCTCAAAAAATGCCTCCCTCTGCTTACTTTTGGAATATAATCTTTTGCAGGGTGTGCAAAACCTGTGGTAATCCTCAGACCAGCAGATATTGCATGCAGCTGTACAGTATTGTATCTTTGATACTTTTTCAGCTAAATGCCAGTATATATTTTCACTAATATATGCATTAGTTGCCATAACATTGCTCATAGTTGTGGCACCAGCTTTTATGAAATTCCTATTTGAAATGTGACATCTACTCCATGTGATTGGGCTAGTATATGGCTCCCATTGATCAAAATTCTTTCTGATAGAATTTTTTCTATTCTTGAATTTTTTATTTTTTTTTATTGAAAATTTTTATTTTTTAACATACAAACATTATAAAAATACAATAAAATTTTAAAGTAAAATTTCATAAGCAACCATTGTCTATACTACCTTTACCCCCCCCTTACCCTCCCACCCCCAACCCCCCTCCCTTCACTTCCCAGAGCAGAATACAGGGTTAATAATAACAAAATTTATAATAATAAAAAAAAGAGACTCGGCAGCCATTTGTCCGAAATGGTATAGGGTTTCCTGCCTGAGCAGGGGGTTGGACTAGATGACTTCAAAGGTCCCTTCCAACTACTACTACTACTACTATTATTATTATTATTATGGATCATCGCACAGTCAGCCAGATGTTCAGACTGGATTTGGCATTTTGTCTACCTATCGAGTCCTTACCCAGGACCTGGGATAGGCAGATGTGGATGTTTGATGGTATTACAGGTATCGTCGCAGGATGGAAGCAGTTCCTAGTAAGGCCGCCTTTGCAATTGACTAATAGCGAATTTGTCAATGCCAATGGTGTTCAAGTGGTGCTCCAGTTGTTTTGGGATTACACCCAAGGAGCCTATTACTATTGGTACTACCCTTGCTTGCTTTTGCCACAGTCTTTCTATTTCTATTTGTAGGTCTTTGTATTTTGTTATCTTCTCCAGTTCTTTCTCGTCTATTCTGCTGTCTCCAGGCACTGCCACGTCCACTATCCAGACTTTTTGTCTTTCTTATCGACAATTGTTAAGTCTGGGGTGTTATGTTGCAGGTGCTTGTCTGTTTGAATTCTGAAGTCCCAGAGCAGTTTAATTTTATCATTTTCTATGACTTTCTCAATTTTATGATCCCACCAGTTTTTGCTTACAGGCAAATGATATTTTTTGCAGATCTTCCAATGCACCATTGTTGCTACTTTGTAATGCCGCTGCTTGTAATCAGTCTGTGCAATCTTCTTGCAACAGCTTACCAAGTGGTCCACTGTTTCTTCAGCTTCTTTGCATAGGCGGCACTTACTGTCTGTTGCTGTCTTCTCAATTTTGACTTTGTATGCATTTGTCCTTAAGGCTTGGTCTTGTGCAGCCAGAATTAATACCTCGGTCTCTTTCTTCAATTTTCCTGCTCTTAGCCATTGCCAGGTTTTATTATTATCTGCTTTCCCAGCTATTTTTTTCATGTATTGGCCATGTAGTGCTTGTCTTCCCATGCCTCTATTCTGTTCTTCATTTGGTCTTTCTTGTAGGCCAGTTTGGTCTCTCCAGTAGTTAGTAAGCCTTCCTGATATACTAATTTCAGTGAATCTTCATCATTGTTCTCCAGATATTCTTCCAAAGCCATTTTTTCTTCTTCAACCATCTGATGTACTTGTAGCATTCCACGCCAACCTATTTGCCTTGGTAGATAAAGTCTATCAATGTCACTGCGTGGATGAAGGGCATGATTCATTGTCATTATTTTTCTGGTTTGCCTATCCATTGCTTTTAGTTCTGCTTGAGTCCAGTCCACTATTCCAGCTGTGTACCTAATGACTGGGATCGCCCAGGTGTTGATTGCCTTTATGGTATTTCCTCCATTGAGTTTGGATTTTAAGATCTTCTTCACTCTCTTGATGTATTCACCTCTAATCTTTTTCTTGACTTCAGTGTGCTTGATGTTGTCAGCTTGAAGGATACCCAAGTATTTGTAGTAATCTTCATCATCCAGACTCTTAATGTTATTTTCGTGGGGCATCTTGATTCCTTCAGTTTTCACTACTTTTCCTTGTTTGATAGTAAGTGTGGCACATTTGTCCAAGCCAAACTCCATAACAATATCTTGGCTATATATATAGACAGTGTTGAGCAGCGATTCTATTTCAGATGATGTTTTTCCGTACAGCTTCAGATCATCCATGTAAAGGAGATGGGATAGTCTGGTAGATGTTTTAGATGTTTGATAGCCATGTCCTGAGTTATTCAGTATTGTTGACAGAGGAAACAGTGCAATAACAAATAGTAATGGTGACAATGAATCTCCTTGAAATATTCCTCTCTTGATATTAACCTCTCCCAGTCTCTCACCATTGATCTGCAACGGTGTCTTCCATTGTGCCATCGATCTTTGCACAAATTTTCTGATGTTTCTACTGACTCCTGTTATTTCTAGGCACTTTATTATCCAATCATGTGGCAGAGAGTCAAATGCCTTTTTGTAGTCAATCCATGCCACATTCAGGTTGGTCTTCCTTCTCTTGCAGTTTTCCAAGATCATTTTTTCTATTAGGAGTTGATCTTTTGTTCCTCTGCTATTGGGGTGGTTTCCTTTCTGCTCAGGTGGAAAGAGATTGTTTTCAACTAGATGCTGTTGTAATGCATCAGCTACCACACCAGTTAGTAATTTGAAAGTTGTTGGTAAGCAGGTAATTGGCCTGTAGTTGCCTGGTGTTGCCCCTTTTGCTGGATTTTTCATTATTAGGTAGGTTTTCCCAATTGTTAGCCACTTTTCAATTTCTCCTCCTTGTAGTATATTGTTGAACTGCTTGGCAATGAGTGGGTGTATAACAGTTAGATGTTTCAACCAAAACCCATGCAGTTCATCTTCACCTGGTGCTGACCAATTTTTGATTTTCCTTGCTTTTTTTTCTACCATTTTTGTTATTATTACTAGTTTTTTCATTTCAACTTCTGTTTTATTTGCATCCACCTCTTTTAACCAAGCCGCATCCTTGTTGTATTTCTTTGGGTTATCCCATATCTGCTTCCAGAACTGCACTGTTTCTTCCTTGTCAGGTACTGACTGATTCCTTGCAGGTTCTCCATTGATGGATTGGTAGAAACATTTCTGATTGGATTGAAATTGGAGGTTTTGCCTATAGTTTGCAATTCGAGCTTCATATCTACTGATTTTCCTGGCTATAGCTGTTATTTGTTGCTTTATTATTTCCAATGCTTCCTTGATCTTCCTTGTTTCTCAGTGGTATTTCTTGATTAGGTATTCTTTGGTCTTCTTGTTCTTCAGCTTCTTTTCTTTCATCTGTTCTAGCTTGCTTGCATGTGATCTTAACTTGCTGATCTTATTTTCTAGTCTAACCTTCCATTTTTGTGGTGCACTGTTTGTTTTTCTTCTTTGTTGATTTTGCATTCCAGGTATTCAGTTATAACTGCAGCTGTGCTGTCCATTAGTTGGTTTGTTTCTTGCAGTGAATTGGTGCTTATACTTGCTATTGCAGTATTTGCATCTTTTAATGGTTGTGCTAGCTGTTTCTTTGGAACAAGCTTCAATGCAGGCAGTCTTATTCTGTTGTTTTTGCTCATTATTATTATTATTATTATTATTATTATTATTATTATTATTATTATTGAATAATAGTCATAGAATTACACATCAAAATATACTTTATTCTTAATTTAACTTGATATACAGAAAATCCTTGACATGAACACAACTAAGCCCAAACGTTTTGTTGCTTAGTGAGACAATGTGAAAAATGGTCATAAGTTACTTTTTTCATTGCCATTGTAACTTTGAACGATCAATAAATGAATGGTTGTAAGTCAGGGACTACCTGTTCTTGTAGCTTTACCTCCCAAAGTCAAGTTAATTTCTCTTGAACAGAATTTGTTTTATTTGTAAACTGCCCGGAGTCATTTAGCAAGATGGCAGGGGAATAAATTTGCTTAATAAATAAAGGCCAGGCATTTTTATTAAAATAATAATTAACTATAAAAATTAAATCAATTAATGGTTCTATCAAAATTCTCTCTGAAATTTTAAAATTCATGTTTTTTTAAAAAAATGTATACACTGCAAATTGTCTATTATGGCTACATTAATACTCTTGTATTAATGGTGGTATTTTCTTTTTCATTGATAACTGCTGTAAGATTTCATATATAGATGCTCAAAAGTGAGGAATCTGGTTGAACACTTTTATAAGGTGCTGTGTATCCTTATTTGGCACATAATTGGAGGTCTCAAATCAACCTATTTGAAGAAGAGAATGGTTTTGTCTTTGGTTTTGATTAAAATTGTATTTCAGAGTTTTTAATACCTAGTGTTTTGATTATCTGTTCTGTGATATTTGATATTAAACTATCAGCAAGTTATGAATTGGGCTCTTAAATGACATTTGTCTAGTTTCCTGAAGCATTCGGATCCTAATTCTCAAACTTAGCAAGTCAAATGGTACAGATGAAACTCTCCATTCTCTCCAGTGTAAAATACACCTAGGTGTGAATTTCCAATTATTAGGGGCAGTTTTCCCTTCCCCAAAAGCTGTTCTGTAAATTTGACATATTTGAAGGGTGACTTCCACAATATGAAACATATTTTCTCCTAACAGATGTTTTTTAGTCAATTTGAGTTTAAGAGGAGATGTTCATAAAGAAATTGGAGCAGACTTTAAAAGCTTGCTAGACAATACTTTTCAAATAAGTATGGCAAAATTATATTGTTGTAATAGTAACATATTTCCTATTTATTTTTATATAGGTTTAAGGTATAGATGTAATGTTGTTAAAATGATTTTTTTGCTGATTAACTGATTATTTTTTATTTTTTATATGACACATCTAGGTCTTTCCCTAGTATTGCTAATTCATAGTTTACTTTATTATACTTTGAATAGGCAATTGAATAAATCTTGGCTCTTAAAATTCTTGTTACACATTTGTCCATGTACTCCACATGAAAAAATAGTGTTACATTTATCTTTGATATTTTTTTTTCTTTTTAGGAAGAAGGCAAGGCTACAATAAGTTATTTTCCTGCTAATGGAACATTTGATTTGATGTATTTCCCATATTATGGAAAACGCCTACATGTGAGTATGTCTTAATTCTGTGTCTGATGAATTTACTTTGTTCATGTTCATTGCTAATAGTGTCATTCTACTCAACTGCATTCTTCTAAAAATTAGTATGTGCAGCTGTGGGATGCTCCCTCCTTCTGGAGCAAATAGGCAGGGTTCACTGCCTCTCTATGAAGTGGGGAGGGGCTGGCCCAATTCCCAGCTTCTGCTTTGTGAGCAAAGCAATCTGGTTTTGCTGGAGCTCTGAGTCTTTATCCCTATAGAGAAGCCTTAGCTTTTGAATGGTTTCTTTAAAAGAAAAACTACTTTTATCTGTTTGACCCAGCTTATCTTGCCTTCCCTTCTTACCTTGTAACACATCAGCAGGATTTTCATAAGGATACATTATACGTTGGCTTGTGCGAGTAAGAGGGCATGGAGATTGGGAGTCTTTTGTTGCTGTTGCATTGGTGTAGAAACCACTAGGCTCTAGCGAAGAAGCAGCAATAGCTCCTATTCCAATGGGGATCTGACCCTGGCTTAGTGTACAAAGGAGCAGGCAGTAAACATGAGAGAGAAAGTGATCTCTATCATCCAGTTGGGCCTAGAAGTGATATGAATTGTTTCCCTCTTAATCTTGTAAACTCAGAGGACAGTAATTACAGAGACCCTGTCCAAATCACTCTAGAAGGCATGCAAGCATATATGAATACAAAGATGATCACTGAAGAAACATTTTACAAATGAGCAACTTGTTCTTTTTCATGTATTCATTTAACCTGCAAAATAATTCCTATGTACCCCCATTAGATTACATTTTTGTAATCAGATACTAATATCTGATAAATCTTTCTAAAAAAAAGTCTTTTGACAGTCAAAATTGTAGGAAAAAATTAAATAGCACATACTTGTTTTCATTTTATATTTCCATTTATTTAAAATAGTTATATTCTACACTTCAGTTAAAAAGGTTCCAAGTACAACTCACAGAACTCCTATTTTAGGGGTGACTTACGAACAACACTATAGTGCAAGAAAAAAGGATGGTAAAAAAGGAAAAATGAGAAGACTTATGAGCCTGATTCTTAGTATTACAAAGATCCTAACTTGTCCAACCACAAGAATGGTTAAATAGCTTCTCTGGAGGAGCCAAGATTGACAGTACTGGTTTCTTAGGATGGCTGATGTTTCTTTCCTTTCCTACTTGCCTTTTGCTATAGCTTTGATTATTTTCACGGAGTTAATAACTTGAGTATATTTGTACATGTTTACTTGAAAAAATTCTACTGAACTAATATGTATTTGGTCTAATTCAAATGCCTGGTTTTTAACCAGTTACTACTTGTTTTAGTTATATTAAATCTATTTTTGTACTGGAAAAAAAATCAATTTTTATTTCTGCCTCTTTTGAACCAGCCTGACTACTTACAGCCACTGGTGGCTATTCAGCTAGCATTTAATACAACCAGTGCCAAAGAAGATGTAACCATTGAATGCAAGATGATGGGAGCAAGCAACATAAGAAATAATGATGAGCGAGACAAGTTTCTGGGACGGGTTTCATTCAAATTTCAGGTATCTGAATAAAAGTCACCAATGTCAGCAAAAAGTCAATCATGTCAGCAGGACCTGCCATTCTGAAAGATGAGACCACCCGTAAGAAACCTAGAGTGGAACAAGGCATTTGGGGTAGCATAATGTGCTTCCAAATCATGATTTCAATTTGTCACAATATAACTGCCCATCATGCTTTGCCTATTGGACCACTGTACAGATATAATCATTTTAGTGACCTGTAAATAGATTCCAAACATGTAATCGTGGTGGTCTTTGACCTGTTCAAAATGTGGGCTTTATCCCCAAGTGAGTGTCTGTAATGTATGTGCTGCGCTATGTAAATATTGTATTGGTTTAACACTGGTTAACTATCATATCAATACGAACACGATCTTAGAGTGAGAGGTAAGATATTTCAGACTATCCAATCCAACACCGTGAATTAAATTTGTGCAGAGATGCCTTAAATCCTATACGGGATGGGAGTTAGTGGGAAGCTTTATGTGGATTTTAAGTGTTAGCATTGATTTTTGACATTATTTAAATACTGAAATAGATGTTGTGCTTATTGTGCAAGTATTGTGTGTATATGCAATGTTTGATCTAGATTTGATATTTCAGTTGCAAAATTGTGTTAATGAAGCACAGATAAAACCAATACAATGTCACTTTTTAAAACTTTTTAATTGAGAATTATCAATATGAAACAAGTCCTTTACAATGTGTATGGTTTAGAGATTTGGTAACAGTCGTATTACAAAGCTGCTTGAAATAAAAAAAAGACCTCACAATATGGGACTAGAAGTACAATTTTCAATAAAAAATATTCCAGAATGGAGAAATGCCTGTTTAAACATTTTAAAACTCAGTAATGACTGTCCTAATTAAATATTCCTTTGTTTAATTTATATAGTTTCAGATAGATTTTGTCTTCTGTAAGTAGTATTTAAAATTTAGGTTTTTTTCTATTAAGCATCCTTTCTGTTAAGGTGTTATGGTTCCGGCTAATGAAACACTTCAAAGAATATCCTCTGCATTTCAAGATGTATTTTAAAAACCTCTCCATATTCCAGGATATGTTACTGATGTTTCTTTCTTCTTTTCTCTTCACTCCAGACAATTTAAGAATTAAAAATAAGCAGTTCAGAATGTGCATTAAAATACACTATTAATTTTTATGCAATCATTTGTTTCTTTAAAAACAATAACAATAACATAACAATGAAAACAACACTATTAATGGAACAAGTTATGATAGGAAAAATTTTCAATTGTCTTTAAGTATTTAAGTTCCATACTGAGCATATCCAAGTTAGCTAGAAAAGAAATTCAATGAAGGTAGAACCAATCTAGAAAGATTAAATACATGAATTTGGGCCTGGTGAGACCCAATGAAATAAGCTAGTGACTAGCAAAAAGAAATCAAATTCTCTTGCAGTTAAAGAAGAACCATAATGTTGTATGATTTGCTATTGGTGTTTTTTTTTTAAACAGAAGGTTTCTAATGCATGTATAAGAATGCAGCTTTCTGCTATAACTAAATAATTGTTTTCACATGTTGCAGTATCTTCTCATCCTGGTCTAGGAGATCTGAGAAAGAATAGAAAGGGATCAAACTCCTATCCTTTTATGCTGTATCAGATATTTTGATGAGCCTTTGAATTGTTGTATGTGCTATTGGCCTGTTGGAACTTTTATCTATGTTGTGAAAAACATTGTTGGTTCCACATAGGTATAGACTTGAGCAGGTCAAGTATTAGGATAAAACAGTGAAGCTTGAGATATTGTGCATTATTGAGAAATCAGGATCATTTTCTAGACTATTTGGAATGTGATAGGATCTTTGGATTTTTGTTCAAAGGTAATATTTTAAGTACTTCTGCCTTTTGATATAACAGAAAGTAGCCTAAACATGAGGTAAATTGAATCAAAATGCCAATAAGTTTGGAAAAAGAATTCTGGCTATGAATATAAACTAATATTGGCTGCTTAGAATATAACGTATCATCTCTGAAAGAGATGGGCGAAGTTGTATTTCTCAGGGGCAAGGAAGGAATAATGAATGAGTTCACTATTGCTTAAAGACCATGTTCTGGGCCCCTCAAAGGTTCTGTGTGGTAAAACAAGTGAATACTCCTGCAAGGTGGACAGGTGAACTTTAGACATTTGCTGGAGCAGACCAAAGCCTGTCTCAGCCCAGCACTTTTCTTTCCCACCATAACCAAATTCTTCAGTGGACTCACAAACAGGATATAGAGAGATTTCCTGCTTTTGTGCCACTGTAATTGATACTCAGAGGCATGCTGACTCCAGTTCACTGAAGTCTAATAGCTATTGATAGATCTGTTCCCTATCCATTTATTCAACTGCTTTCCAAAGCCGTGAATGAGACACATGGAGTCACTCTGGGAGTAACAATATGGAAAAAATGGGACACAATTTTGACCTCAAGTGTCAAAACACGATGTAACCTGAGTTATGGGGAACTAGTTGGTGTTTTGCTTTAGGAAGCAAATTTTCATCGAAGTTGTGTCTTGATTCGTGTCAAATGTGTCAGCCAAACTTTTCATAGCAGTGTTGGGCTCTCTGTTTTAAAGAATGGTAAAAAAATTATTTGATGTCTTGATGCATACTGAATCATGAGGCCAAAATGCATCCTGCAAGGCTCTAAAGAACTGTGTATACAGTAGCAGTTAAAGCCATAAACTAAAATTGTGATTGTTCCTCAGTCCTTAGAGTGTTGTTACCACAGTGGCAGTTTCATGAAAAGATACATATTTTTGCTAATCTGCAGAAGTCTTCATACAGTCTGAGCAAAACATTTCAAACACAAAATGGCTGTTTCATTTGTTCTGAGCTTGGAACAGACACTTGCTCTGACTTTAGACACAATGGAATTTTTGTTGTTTCAAGTATTTTGACATCCTGTAATTGAATTGTTTGCTTTTCCTTTATTTTCTCTGAGCCATTGAGAGTTCATTAGCCAGTGAGCAAAGATTACATTGTTGCTAGCATATTGGCTGGCACTAGTTCAGAGGAGGGCTGGGTGGGGTTGGGTAGGGGAGAGTCAGTTAAGTATCTCTTCAGTGAGTCAGAATAATTTGAATATAAGTAAGCCTTGTACCTGATGGAAGGCGAATTTATTGTGGTTTTTAAAATTCCTTGCTATAGGGTAATTAGATGAAGTGCTGCTTTCCCTCTGAATTCCCTGACTGTTGTGGGTTTTCTTTTTCAGAAAGTTTGCAAAAACCTGCATGTGCATGTGCTGTAAGAACCCTCAAACTGATAGAAGTTATTTTGTAGTAGCATAATGAAGGGACTCCATTGGGGAAAGCATATTGTAGGTGATGTTTTTTAATTGTTTAAAGTTTGCCAAGGTGGTCAGTGTTTCTGTAGATCAAGTGATAAACATTCAGCATGGAAATTTACCACTTCAAATTTAATGATACTTGAAGTATTTTGAATGTTTGAGCTGACAAAGTTCTGAATGGGGCTGTTTGTTGTCAGGTTTGGAGAACATTTTTATAAAGAAAAATTAAATATATGCTTATTTTTGTGCACTGTCAATCCTACTCCCAATGGGAACAATGTGGGTGTTTATAGGCAAAGCTACAGTAAAACCCCTTTGACTCAGAGTATTCATACAACATGCTAACCTTTATTTTACTTAATCTTTATTTTATTCATAAATCTGTATGACACAAACTACATAGGCTATGTTTACACAACTTTTTGGGCAGAAGTATCATTGATTATTTTGGTTCAATGTGTCATATGAACAGTCACAGAACTGATGAAATTCAGTTCTTTTCACCTTTTATTTGTAATTTGTGGAAAATAACAGCAGGAGACCTTCCTATGTTTCTTCATGAAAGTTTCCATTGGAGCAAAGATCAGGTGAATGCCATCCTTCTAACAGTAAGTTAAAAGATATGGGACAGTTCAATGTTGTTTTTAATTAACTTTAACCTATTATACATATTTTGTACAATACAATTCTATTTAGCATCCCCTTAAATTGCAGGTTTCTGGCTATATATGATGGAAGTTGTACCAAGATATTCAGTGGGAAAGGCAACTGAATTAAACTCAATCAATCAATCAATCAATCAATCAATCAATGCCTGTAGATCAGGGGTGTCAAACTGGCGATCTGTGGGCCAGATGCTTCACATGCAGGCCATACCCACCCTGGCTCTGCAAAGGCATAAAATGTCACGATATGTCATACCTCGTGACGCGATCGAGTTTGACACCCGTGCTGTAGCTGCATTGATTAGGCTAGATGTTTGTACAAAGTCATAATAGTGTTATTTTTTTTCCCATTTTGTGTGAACCCAGCTGTTGCACCATATAGTGCAGTATATTGTATTGTGTGACTATGTTGATATTTAACTATGCCTAAGCACATTTGAAAGGAAAATAGGCTTTGCAAAAACAGAATTTCTAACTTGTCTTTAAATACAGTTGCATTAGTCTTGCTTTGGAACAATTTGCAAACTTTTAAAAATTTCTCTATATTTTAAAGTTTTCTTCATCCCAAATTAACAACTGCTGCTATGAAATGAACAGGGTTGACACGAAGCAATTTTATTTGGCTGACTGGTTCTGATCAGATCTTGCTTCATTAGGCAGTTTGGTGATAAAAACTTGGTAACACATCCTTGAAGAGCAAATCTGCTAGTAGTTGCCAGAAGCAGCTTATAATTTTCATTAATTATCAAGGTTAATTCATTGGTCAGGAACACCAACATTCGTGAAGTGAGAAAAGAGTAACAGCAGATTTACAATTGCATCTGTAGAACACTGCAAGTAACACGATAATCAAATCCAAGTTGAAGCTTAAATTTAAGTGCCTGTTTCAAATTTCTATGGGTCTCAAACATGGGGCAGACACATTTTGGCACACACATTTGCAATTATAATGATAATAAAACAAAAGCTATTTTGAAATCTCTAGGTTCTGCGAAAGTTTTAGAAGAATATACGAGGCTATTTCCAGTAGATTTTTTTCTGCCATTATTTCTCTATACATTCTATAAAAAAGTCCACCAGAAAAAATGATTTTAAAATGTTTAAAAACCAGTTTTCCAACATGTGCTCTTTGGAATTAAATAAACATGATTACTTGTGTAAGAGTATTGAATCTTCTTAATATAGACATATGGAATATGGAATTAAGTTACTATTGCTTGCTTGGTAGGAATTAGTCACAGCTCAGAATCTTATACTGCATAGAAGTAGCTATCAGTAAGTTTTCAAGACTTTTAAAGTATTTCAATCTTTTTAAAAACTTTAATGAAAATTGTGAAACAAAGTTAACTTGTTTCTGCCATCTTTTAAGGTCTGTCCTCTCCAGAAGGCATTGCGCTGTGAAAACACCCTCTTTTACACTTTCAATGTTTTGTTCTTCGATGCCTTACTATAAAATTATCTCTTATACTGATATTTCCGGTTTGACCCATTTTAAAGTTGACTGAATATGTTTTTACTCTTAACTATATATTCTCTTTCTAGAATTTGCTGCCAAGGAGCCCTGCTCTAGAATTATTGCTGTAATATTAATATTAATCTTTCTTATGCAACTTTCTCCTGTGATAATCAGATGAGATATACATTTTAGAAAGAAAAAATAGGGATTGAAAATAGTATACAGGACTATGCCTGAGAAGAAATTTCAGTAGTCATGAGGTAAGGAATCCAACAAAGTTGTTCCAACTTTATCAGAAATGTTCTGACACTGTTCTGAGCTTGGAAGAATTCCAGAATGGTCAGAGCAATTTAGACAGAACAGTTTTTGAAAGATTTTGAATTTGAAATGTTTTTGCACAACACCCGTAGAAATGTATTTGCTTTTAGGGCTGCACTGAAGCAACTTATTCAGTACTATGCTAGTATAGTTACTGAAACTAAGCAGGAACTTGTTCTTGGGACCAAAGATAAACAAATTTACTTTTCAATCTTGACAATTTTATGCTGTAGCCTTCCAGAAATGTTTATCTCTTCCCTAACTATTTTTGGACATTACATTTTTGTCAGATTTCAATTTCCAAGTTGATTCTTCTGGTAATATAAGTCATCATTCCACACCAAGACAAAATTTCATGGTGAACCTGCTGCATAAAATCTTATCAGTAAATCTGATTCCATTTTAGACTTGAAATAAGTCAGCGGCGTC